GTAATTCAAAAATAATGTTTGTAAACTTTATACAAAGAAACTCCCTTAGTCTGTAATGCCTTAAAACAGACATGCCATCAGTGTGCAAAATTGAAACTGAGGCAAGCCCATGCTATTGAAAAAATTCTTTAATAAACAAATTTCCTAACTATGATATGAAATGCTTTTAACTTCACAATATCAGCAATAAATTAAACCTCTAACAATTTTAGAATTCACTCCATAAAAGATCTATTGTAATTATCACTAACTCAATTAATATGTATTATTTGGCATCAATGTCTTAAGTATCTGTGTGAGCAACTATGCACCCACCCCTCCGCTATAGCCCAACATTTACCCTTACTTGTTATCAGTTGACTGTTGTTAGGTTACAGGGGAGGGGTAGGTGAACAGTTGCTCAGATACTGACTCTGTGTGAGCAACTGTGCACCCACCCCTCCCCTATATCCCAACATTTATCCTTACTTGTTATCAGTTGACTGCTGTTGGGTTACAGGGGAGGGGTCAGGGTGAACAGTTGCTCAGACAGACTCTCAGATTCATTATTTGTTGGTTGACACCATCATTATGTACTGTCATCATTAAAAAATCCCAACCAATGCTTGTCCTAACAGCTATACAATAACACAGAAATAATGACAGACACAGCACCCAAAACAAACAAGACACTAGGAATAAAATAAAACACATACACTGACACTAAACTTGAAAGAACTATGGCACAAGATGTAGCAAATCCTTTCGTAATGCAGGATGCATATTTCAAAATCAGAGATACGATAATTCCACCAGCTGATGCAAACAAGATCACCAGACAAACGATAATGTCATACCCATGGAAGAAACCCAGTCTAGCTATCTGAACACCATCTTGGTACGCCACACCTAGTAAGCTTAGAAAGATTCCAAAAGTATACAATTGTGCATTTGAGATCCAAAACAGCTTTCTTTTTCCTGTTTTGAAGATTTTCTCCATGTAAACACCAGCAAATCCAGAAACCATGGAAGCTGCAAGGACAGAAACAAATCCAAGAAAAGTTGATTGTTGCTTCTTAACAGAATTACTGGTGGACATTTCAGTTTCCACTGATGTGTGGGTGTCGATCTGAACCATTGTCACTCCGATACCTAGCAGGAGAAGTGAGATCCATTTTANTTTGTAACCCTTTTTAGTTGCTAGTTTTTTAGTTGACTCATATCCATGGCCTGCTCATTAAGTATTTTTTTCAGAATTGCATGCTTAACTTTTCTTAGTAAAATGCGATCACTTGCTGTAATCATAGGTAAAAACAGGAAGCACCCCTTTCACCCTGCAGGTAAACTAAATACATTAGGTAAACAAAAATGATGTGTATTCTTTTGTGACGGATTTAAATTTGAATAAAGAGTGCTTCAGTTTTTAAAATTGGACAAATCAGGCCTAAAATGTTCACGTTCAAAGCCTTTTTAAAAATTTCTTGTTAGTTTTTAGCCACACTGAAACAACTGACAATGTGCAAGATGATCATAATTTTGTGAAAACAAAAGGTTTAACACACAGTTCCTGACATCCACATTAACACAAAAATTCGACAAAATATTTCCCGAATAAAGAAAATGCTTTTGCAAGCAAATCGTTGCCACAAGAGTTACATAGCGCAGTAAATTTTACTCCACTTTTTGGGAGAGTGCCTCTTCATATCTCGAGAGTCGAGTTTCGCTTCAAATAGGACGAATCCTGAAGTAATTTCCGGATAACTTCAAACTGCAACCCGATTAGCCCATCAATTGTTTTCCCCAATGTTTTCTTTACCCAAGAACTGTATGTGCAAAAATCTTTTCCGCACGAACCTTCAATTTTCTCGAGGTAACTCAAGTAGAAGTTTTGATTACAGTTTAATTGAGAGAGACCTCACTAAAAGTAAAATATAGGTAAAGAGATGATGCAAGAACACTCTAACATCAGCCTTTTATGTCGTAGGGAAAACTGTTCTTGCATTTGATGCAAGTACAGTTTTCTCTGAAGGAAGCAAAATTGATTGAATAAAATCCCTTCGTATAGAAATAGAAAAATTACGGAAAGAAACACACCCTTACCTTTTTCATGGGCATGTTTTCCTGGCATTTGAACTGAAGACGAAATATTTTCATCACGTAAGGCGAATCCTTGTTCAATAACTGTAGGTTCCCACTTCCGGTTGCTCTTACAGTTGACTGATAACGTAGTTGTACTAGGTACAGGTCGACTACTCATGTCTACACTTGACAGATTTAACGAGCTACTACAAAGAGCCTATAAGCCAATATAATATCGAAACGGTTCCTTTTTCTTAGCTCAATATTTGTATAAATATTGCCATCGTGTTAGTTCATCTGCAAGGTTTAAACCAATGAGCCTTGTCACCGAAAATTTGTGTCCAGCGGTATCCTGCGAAATATTTTAGAAATGGCGGTCGGTGAGTGAGTTTCTTTGTTTTCATGGAATCTTGAGATTTCTCCAGATTTCATTTTTGTTCAGTAGTGTGTCGTTTGTTTTTTAAATGATATTTCCAATAATTTCAAGCTGTTTTTTTTTTTAATTTGACAAGAGAGAATCGTAATCTTTTTAACGCGACATTTTGGTCTACGTACGTGATCGCGGTAGGTCAGATCCATCATGAAAGGATTTTCGCTGAAACTACGAGACCTGACTCAAAATCACTTTTAAAAATGATTAACTTCAGTTCAGTAGTCTCCCACAAAGAGGGTTACTTTGGTATACCTAAAGAAAATGGATGAAACTTGCCGAATAAAGCTCCAGTTTTTTTTCCCTTTCGTGAAAGTCACAACAATTCCCCATTGTTTGTTCGTTCTTCAAAGCATGCTTACCAATTTCTCTAGCAAATCATTATTTTTATACACCAAACTAACTAGATTCGTTTACTTCTGCACGAGAATCGGTTAGTCACAGTAGTAATCATAGCAATTTTGAAAAAAATATTTTGATAACAGTATTTCGATAACCAGATGACCTTTGCGGTGGGATTGAATTTTTTTGAAATTTCGTGTTTAACCCGTTGATCTTAAAGAGCTGAAATATACATTTATTGCACTGCCTGCCTTAAATTTCTTGAAGTCTTAACCAAGAGAATTACATGTTGGATCAAACTACATGTATGTGATTATTGTAGTCTATAAACTGTGGGAAATTAAACCGCACTAACCTAATATACGCATACTGAAAGAAAAAAAAACGCCTTTAGTTTACGGTGTAAAATCTTTCATTACAGATAATACATTCTGGAAGAAATTATGTGGTTAGCCTCCTAATCTGTATCCCTTTGTTGAATTTTTGCTTCTTGTCACCTGTCTACTTTATGGTATTCAGGGGTAAGGTAACGAATCTGATCCAACCGACGCGTTGGCCGACACGTTGGCTGGACCTCATAGAAAGACTCTGCCTGGCTGGTACTTTCGCTTGGCTCCAAACTTCGACTCGTCGATCTCCACTGTTTTTCCTACACCTCCGATCTTCATGTCAGCGTTCATAATTTTCGTCGAACATACCGTTCGTAAGTCGCTCAGCGCACGGATCACTGTAGGCTTTGAAAGGCTAGTCAGTCTGGCGATGTTACTTCCAGAAGCCTTGATAGCCCACAGGAACATTAGATGAAGCCACGTACTCAGCGGGATGTTGGAACCTTCGAAAAACCAGGTTCGAAAAGCCAGGTTCGACAGCGGCTGTTTGTACAGCATCGGTGGTGTGTCGGTAGTGTGTCGGCCGACGCGTCGGTTGGATCAGATTCGTTACCTTTACCGCCAGGACTTCAGCCTGGGTAAACCAGAAAGGATAGACAACACTTCGCTATATTAACCATGAATGAAAAGCTAAGTATGTTATATATCCCTGAAGCACTCAGGCATTACATTGAATGCCAGGAATTCAACCTGGGTGAACCAGAAAGGAAAGACA